GAGGAAAGCAGGCATCTTTCAGATCCAGCACCTGGTGGGGTGTTCATCTTCTCAGGAGCTCCTACCCAGCTACCTGCCAAAAGGCCATGAGGACTTTACCCCTTACTACTGCAGAGAGGTCCTGGGATGACAGTGTGCCTTCAGAGAGCTGTTTCATTTTCCTTTAATCTTGAGGTTCAACTTGAATTGTACACCTTGATTCCGGAACCTAGAAGGAATGAGAAGCCTTTGATTCAGTCTCTTTCTCTGAACATGGATGAGACTAACTGGAACATTCTGGATCTGTTCAACTATTGCCCATTTAGTATGTGGGGGCTAGGGAGGGGGAAGCATGCGTCCTGTCAAGGGTGATCTGGAAGGGGGTTCTGAAGAAGGAGAGTTTCCCTGAATGGCTCTCTTGGCTTGGAGCTTGCTGTCCTATGCCCACTCACTTTCCCACCAGGGGACAATATGGCTCGAAGTAGAAACAGGAGGCAGCCACGCAGTGTTTGATGTACAGAACTCACGGATTTTCTTTTAACTTTGGGAGACAATATGTGACAACATCAGAAACAGCACCTCTTAGAAGACAATGTTGTCCATGTGAAGTTCATCACACAAGGCAACACACGGTCAGCCAGGTCAAGTCTCTGAATTGACTGAAGCTCTGCTGCCTGCAATACAGACTGCAAATCAAGTGCTTCACTACCCCATCTCAAAGCAAGGGCAGAGGAACAAAAGCAGTCAAGGGGACAGGAAAAACAGAAGCTCACTGACAACTCAGAGCCATCATGGGTCAGGAACACAAAGCTGAGTCCTAGTTTTGCTTCCCTCCAAACTGACACCACTGGGCCCACAGTCCACAATTTCTAGGCTACACTGGGCCTCCTGGACAGGCTGTCCTCAGCTTATCTGGATGAGAATTCCCATGTGATGCCAGGGATGGACTTTCAAACCTGGGAACAGAGAAACAGGTCCGTACCATGGGTGTCAGCCCACTTCTCCTCAGGTTCCCAGTGACATTGTGACCTTATAATCAACAATGACATCATCACTGCAGCCCACTACCACACACTACTCAGGAGTCCTTGGTCAAGCACCAGAGAGTTAGTGAGATTTGGTTCTATGGGGAGAACTAGACATTTCTGGGAGTTGTTGAACCTTCCTCTCTGTTCATGAACTCGGCTATTCACCTGTCTTCTAGATCACTGCAAGGAAGTACAGATGCCCAGCTCCTTTATCCCATGGTCTCCTCTTTCTCCGTAGGACCTTTGGAAACTTTCTACTCCCACCCAAACCTAATATCCTGCCAGGTCAAAAAGAAACTACTGAGGGGTAGGAGAATACAGGTCCAGGACAGGCTGAGCCTCCCTTCTCTTTTGTGTAACTAGGGCAAATCCAAGGCCCTTCCTTGAGCCCCATCTAGTTCATTAGGTTGGAGAACACATCTAGCTCACGGTGTTGCTAGGAGGTACCAGTGGCCAAGGTACACTGGCATCTTTTCTATGCAGGGAACAGGAGACCTGGGCCACCCCACCCCTCTGGGTCCCACCAGAAAGGCCCTTCCTCTTCTAGGCAGCTCTTCACTCAGCCTCTCCACAGACTGCTACAGGAACAGTGGAACTTCTGGGTGGGGATCTGACTTGAAATGGTCAGAGAAGGAGTGAGCCACTACCTAGAAGACCAAGTCCTGCAAAAGAAAGGGAGAGACTTCAGAGTTGGCCTCCTGTGCACTCCCCTTCTCTACCCTAGCTGCCTGCTCCTGGAGTCCTTTCCACATCTGCAGATGCATGGCATACAGCAGCCAGGCTGCTCATTGTCAGGAGATGGACACCTGGGTGTAGGTGGGGGTCATAACAGGTGCTGCAGGGAGCCTGGGCAGACAGGGTGGGTGGAGAAGCAGCTTGTGGGGAGAAGAGATGGTTGAAAGCAAGTACTTCCTGCTCTTCCCTGTCTACAGATACACAGCCTCAGGAATACCCTCAGACCGGGTTAGGGCAGAAGAGGGAGAAACAGGCAGAGGCCAGTCTCTTGCCCCATCCCCATAGCCCTGGAGGCAGTTTGGAGAAGGTCTGTGCACAGCTGCTGCAGAGAGTAACCTTAGGGCTCCCAGTCAATAAGGGGACAGGCCTGGGGATTGGTTCATAAAGGAACTGCCCATTTTATCTGCCCACCTCACACAGTTAGAGACCAATGGACAAATCTTTTTACTTGTCTAGGCCTTCCTGGGAGCTCACTGCCCCAATCCTCACCCAGTCAAGGTTCAGGTGACATCTCATGAGGCCTCTGAAGAAAAGGGACTGGAAGCCTGGAAGGTGGGAGGAGGGGCTCCGTGTCTGTGTGTTGATGATGAGCTGACCCTCCAAGATGCCATGGCTGCCCAAAACCCTATCACAGAAGCACAGGGAATGTGGGAGAGCCTTGCCCATTTTTCAGTTTCCCAGCTTTGGCTAGGCAGCAGTTGTCCCTGGACATAATCCCAATTCCCACAAACCAGTCGTCTGGGTATTTAGAGGTTATGGACACACACCAGGCAGCTCCCCTCCCAACCTGTTGCAGCCTACCTTCAGGCACAGGGCCTGGAAAATCAAGTGCTGTGGTAACACCCCTTCTTTTAGGCTCTCCCTCTTTCAGCCAATGAGAGGTAACAGGTTTGCCAGACTCTGGTGGTTCTCCGGATGCTGAGGAAAAGGACTGGGCTGTGAAGGGTTTTGCAGTATGGGATGTGGTTCCTTGGACCCTGTGCAAGAGACCTAAAATGGAGGAACCCGGGCCATGCCGCCTCTGCCCCTCCCCTCTCCCCCTCCGCCCCTCCCCTCTCCCCCTCCGCAGTCTCAAGGCACTTCACTTCCCTGCCATCACTATCCTTACTGCAGACCCCTGGCACCAGTGGCGAGGATGGCCCTTTCCGCCAGAGGGTCCGCTGAGGTGGCAGGTCTGCTCACTCGATCCGCACCTACAGGCGGACACTGAACATCACGGAAGCCACCATGTAGAAGTAGGGGAAGTTCGTGCGCAGCCGCCAGGCCAGGTCGAAGAAGGTGAACAGCGTGGGTGTGAGCCCCTGGCAGAAGGCGCTCTCGGAGCTGTGTGGCGCCACCCAACGCGGCAGTGGCACCGCCAGGCCAGACAAGAGCTCCACAGCTACAGCAGCCAACAGAACCGCAGTCACCGCCAGTGATCTGGCTGGCCTGCTCACCTGCTGCAGAGCCAGATCAGTGCGCTGCTGCGGAGTGCTACCCCTAGCTTCCTGCAGCTCTGCCCTCAGGCTTCAGGGTCTCCAGTGCTCCACCCCCAACAACACCCCTGCCACAATTGATTTCCCTCCTCCCCACCTCCCACTCCCTCCTCCTCCCGCCCTGTGTGGATCCTGGAGCCAGACCTGCATCCACTTACCTCCGCCCCTTGCCTCGGGCTTTGGGAGGAGTGAAAGTTAGACCCCCATCTGAGAGCTTGCAAAACAGACAAGTCTGTAAAGTAGACTAAGGAAGGGTCTCTGTCCCACCCCACCCCCACCCTCACCCTTACCCTCACCCCACGCCCACTCTTGCACTCTGAGGCCCTGGACCTGTTGATTTAAGGGCTCAGCCCTGAAGGTCCTGTAAACCCCCCCCCACACACACACACACACGTTGACCCCCTTGGACTCTGAGGGGACTGTGGCCTGGAGCTGTTGTTTTAGGGCCCCAGGTTTCTCCTCATAGGCCTCCTCTGAGCCTGGGCCCTCTCACTTGACCAGTGTGATCCAGAAGCGCACAGTGCATCTTCACTTGCCTTCACAGCTGCTCAGTGCCTATGCCTGAGGACCAGGCCATTTGCAAGGTGCTAGTGCCAGGCTTTGCTCTTGTGAACCCCCTAGGGTAACTGAGGGTTGGCAGATGTTGACCACTTTGCTGACACTGTACGGAAACCATATCTAGAAGCCCTGGTCTACGCACATGTATCTTCATCCTTCTTCCACAGTCTCCTCAGGAATGTGGCATCTTTCTTGAACTGACATTGAATTGCAACTACCATGGAGTGCTAGCAAACCCATATACAGCTTTTTATCTATTATATGTATTGATGCTGTGTATTTCCTTGTTGGCCAGTTACAAGATAGTCCCTGGGTTTCTGAGAATGCTTCTTTTAATCTGTTTATCCTGGTTGCTAAACACCAGGTTGAATTTGCATTTGGTCCTTGATTTGACCCCTAATACTCTAGTGTACTTAAATGCCCTTATTTTTTTCACCTAGTTACATGTTTTGTAAACTAAACTAAACCAAACACGGTGAAAGCCCTACATGTTGCATGCAATAGTGAACCCTTACGCTTGATTATAGGTTTAAAAGCAGACACCCTCATGCTTTTTAGTTTTACGGGGAGTATTTAGGTCCTCCCAAAATGCCTGTTCACTATCACATTTTAATTGCTCTATGACTTCCCATAGTTCACAGGGACCAGAACATTTACATATACATGTACAGTAGTCCTGCTTACATGGTCGATGGTTTTGCTTTGCTTTTGAAGGGGAAACCTGAAATATAGAGAAAACATGAAAAGATGATACCGAAGAATTGATCAAGACTATATTAGTGTGTCTTACTCAAAGCCTATCAGTACTCATTTTAATTTTGTTCTGGAGACAGGGTCTCACTATGTAGTCCTGGCTGGCTTGTGATTCTCTGTACACACTACGCAGGTCTAAAACTCAAAGAAAATACACCTGCTTTTCTGGCCCCTGCGTGCTTGGATAAAAGCATCATACCCAGCATTCTTTCAGATTTAAGTGGTGTAATTTTACTTTGAAATTAATTTAGTAATTTAAAATATTTTCTTAGCACGGCACAGAAAACAATTAGCCAAGAATTAGAAAAAAAAAATTTTTTATCAACTCATGAATGGATTAAACAAAATGTGGTTCACATACACCCTAGAATACTATTCAGTCATTACAAAAAAAAAAAAAAATGGAAATAACTGGTGGTCATGATATAAGGAGAAGCACAGTGCAATTTCAATAAATACATTTTTTAAAGCATCCCTTTTGGACTAAAAGGTAAAGTGATGTTTTTGTGTACTTGTGCACTGTGTAAAAATTATCCTTGTCACATGGTGATTTCTGTGCCTGCTCAGATCTGATTACATGCCATTGTCATTGTTATTTTTACAAAGAATCCCCTGTCCCAATATTTTTTACACATTGTTCTGCAACACCTTCTGATTGGTTTTAATAAATGCTGCTGGCCATTAAAAATTCCCACCACAAGCAGAATGAAACATCAAATATTTTCAAACATGTAACACTTCAAACAAAACAGTCCTAAATCCTCAGTTGCAGTGTATCCCATAATTTTTTTAATCCACCTGTCCTCGAGTTTTACTGTCCTCTCCTAAACAAAATCTGTTAAAATCAAAGACGCATTAACAACTTAGAAGTTGATGTTTAGTAAAAATTCAGTTTACCCTCAAGTTTCAGGTTCAAGGGAAAGCAAAGGTAATCTAGAGCTGCAGCCAGGGACAGCAAGGGACACTTGCTTTAGCTAGGTTCATCTAGTGGAAAAGGACTTATGGCTAAATGTGAAAAATGTTTTTTGCTTTTTGAAGGTATAATAATAATAATAATAATAATAACAGTAATGAAAACCAGTGACAACTGGTGATGATAAAATATCATACATAGTCAATCTTCCAAGAGTAAACCAAATAAAATAAGCCAAATGAGCTAACATTTAAAGCAATCGCCTAAACCTCTGTATGACTCAGTTTTCTCATTGTTCCTATCTTATTTTCTCTTTATCAGACCCTACAAACACTAGTTTGTACTTCTAAAGCATTTTTATTATTAAAAACCTTTTCCTTCTCTTCCTTCCTTTCTTCCTTCCCTTCTTTTCTTCTTTCTTTCTTTCTGTTTTTTTTTTTTTCCTGATTTTTTGACACAGGGTTTTTCTGTGTAGACATGGCTGTCCTGGTCTAGCTTTGAAGACCAGGCCGGCTTCTAACTCTCTGAGATTTCCTGTCACTGACTTTCTAGTGCTGGGAATAAAAGCATGTTTTATAAACCTTTTCTAAATACACTAGTGATTAAATCATAAAGGAATATGCTATTTTTTTGTTTTGTTATTTAATTTTATTTTTTTCTTATCAGTTACATTTTATTAACTCTGTATCCCAGCCATGTCCCTTTCCCTCATTCCCTCCCAATCCCACCCTCCCTCCCTCATCTCCACCGTGCCCCTTTCCAAGTCCACTGATGGGGGGGACCTCCTCCCCATTCATCTGATCCTGTTTTATCAGCTACCTTCAGGACTGGCTGCCAAGCCCTCCTCTGTGGCCTAACAAGACTGCTCCTCCCTTGGGGGGTGGGGAGGTCAAAAAGCCAGTCATTGAGTTCCTGTTAGAAATAGTCCTTGTTCCCCTCACTATGGGAAACCAATTGGTTACTGAGCTACCACAGGCTACATCTGAGCAGAGGTTCTAGGTTATATCCATACATGGTCCTTGGTTGAATGTCAGTCTCAGAAAAGACCCTGGAATATGCTACTAAAACCCCACTTCATTTTTAAAATTATACAACAGGGTTTCTCTGTACTCAGGAGGTAGAGGCAGGCCGGCCTCTATAAATTCCAGGCCAAGGTTGTCTACACAGACTCTGTCTAAAAAATAAAAATAAAGAAGCCAGGCACACGCTTGTAATTCCAGCACTCAGGGAGGCAGAGGCAGGAGGATCTCTGTGAGTTCAAGGCCAGCCTGGTCCAGGACAGCCAAGGAAAAGTGTATACTATGTCCTGTTATACTTTTATTTCCTGATCTTCAAGTGGTCAATGATAAAGACCTGCTCTCTTGCCCAGTATTCTCCACAGTACATTCCATTAAAGGAATTTTGTGACATTATTAATTTTCTCAGTAAGAGACTGTTCTTTATTTGTAACCCAAATGTAAAGTTTTTGGTACCCTTACTGTGTAGCTTGATAACCTGAGTTCAATCCCCAGGACCATCATGATAGAAGGAGAAAATCAACTCTGCAGGTCAGGTCATCCTCTTACCTCCACTGTATACACACACACATACGTGCATGCACACAAGCTAATTTGATAGATAGATAGATAGATAGATAAATAGATAGATAGATAGATAGATAGAATATTAAAAATGAATAAATATACTGATGCCTTGCTTATCTTTATATCCTTGGTGTAAAAACGAGGACCCCGAGCAGAACCCCTAACAAAGCTCCCCATGTAGTTGTCTGGGATGCTTCAGCACCTGTTATCTAGCTCTCATCATGCATTAAGGAAGGCATCTACAAAGTGACATTGTACTACCCGTAGGTAGTGCATACGGTTGCTGATTTTATTTTCTTCCATCTAGATATTTGCTTTCAGAAAATACCAAATTATGATGTTTATGATCAAAATAACAGCTTTATTGATGTGTGGTGGTTTGAATAAATATGGCACCCATTGGCTCCTATATTTGAATGCTTAGACACCAAGGAACAGCCTTATTTGGAAAGAGTTAGAATCATTAGGAGCGGTGGGCTTGATGGAGTAGGTGCAGTCTTGTTAGAGGAAGTGTGTTACTGGGGGTGAGCTTTGAGGTTTCAGAGTCCAACACTAAGCCCAGTCCCCTTCCTCTATTTCTACTTGAAGATCAGGATGTAGCTCTAAGTTACTTCTCCAGTATCATGCCTGCCTGCTGCCATGCTCCCAGCCATGATGATAGTGGACTGAACCTCTGAAACTGTAAACCAGGTCCCAGTTAAATGCTTTCTTTTTTAAGAGTTGCCTTGGTCATGGTGTCTCTTCACAGCAACAGAAGAGTGTCTAAGACAATGTATCAGTCTCATAGTGCAAAATTCATGTTTTTAAAACATAGAACTCAAAGTGGGCCTGGTAGATGACTTTGTGTTATTCTTCTACTGGAAGGCTGATCAAGGAGGATTACCACAACAAGCTTACAGAGTGAGAGCCTCTCAAAAATAGAGAGAGAGAAGAAACAGAAGAAAAAGGAGGAGGAGGAGGAGGAGGAGGAAAACATCTGTCTCTCTGTCCCCTCTCCTTGTACTCTTCATATTTTGCAAGTTGGCCTGAGGAGATCTGCAATCTTTTCTCAGTAACCTTCTTGCCTCCACCTACTAAGTATTAGGATAACAAAATATGTCGTCAGGCCTGATTAAGTATTTGATATTTTTGACTGAGATCTTTCACGTAGAAGAAAATGTTCAAAGTTCAGTTCGTCTTGAAATGTATGAATATGTGCACATGCATTTTCATTCTCTTAGATACACATTTAGTAAAAAAAAAAAAAAATCACTGGGGCATGTGGTCACTCTACAGTTAGCTTTCTGAGGAACAGCCCAGAGGGGAGGTTGCTTTAGCTGCCTTGCCATTTAAACAAGCTCACTCACAATGTGTGAGCACTGTAACTGCTTTATAAATTGCCAACCCATGTTATTGCTTGTCCTTTTAAAAATCTGTGAACATTTAAGTAGATGTGATGCAGTACTTCATTATAAAAATTCTCCTCCATGTTTGTAGAAGTTTTATTTGTAGTAGCAAGAAGCTGGAAATAACCCAGATGTCCATAAGTTGAGGAATGGATACAGAAATTGTGGTACATTTACACAATGAAATACTACTCAGCACTTAAAGAAATCGAGAAATTTGTAGCAAATGGTGAGATCTAGAAAAGAACATTCTGACTGAGGTACCCTAAAAGCAGAAAGACGCACATGGCATATACTCACTTATAAGTGGATATTAGACATGTATTATAGGATAAACATACTAAAATCTGTACACCTAAGGAAGCTAGTCAAGAAAGAGGACGATCAATCCTCAGAAAGGCAAATGGGATGGTCATAGGAAGAGTGAGAAAACAGGGAACAGAACAGGAGCCTATCACAGAGGTCCTCTGAAAGACTCTACCCAGCAGTGCATCAAAAATATGCTGAGACTTGTAGACAAACTTTGGGCAGAGTGCAGGGAATCTTATGAAAGAAGGGGGAGACAGAAAGACCTGGAGGGAACAGGACCTACACAAGGAGAGGAACAGAAGCAAAAAATCTGGGCACAGGGGTCTTTTCTGAGACTGATACTCCAAACAAGGACCATGCATAGAGATACTTAGAACTTCTGCATAGAAGTAGCCCATGGCATCTCAGTGTCCAAGAGGGTTCTCCAATAATAGGAACAGGGACCTTCTCTGACATGAAATTATGGGCTGGCTCTTTGATCACCTCCACCTGAGGAGGGAGCAGCCTTACCAGTCCACAGAGGAAGACAATGAAGCCAGTCCTGATGAGACATGATAGGGTCAGATGGAATTTGGAGGAGGACCTCCCTTGTCATTGGACTGGGGGAAGAACATAGGAGAAGAGGAAGGAAGGTAGGATTGGGAGGGGAGAGGGGAAAGGGCTACAGCTGGGATACAAAGTAAATAAACTGTAATTAATGTAAAAAATAAAAAAAAATTAAAATGAAAAAAATAATAAATTAATTAAAAACATTCTCCTCTTCCTTTTTTCTTTTCTTTTTCTTCTTCCTCTTTTCTTCCTCTTCTTCCTGTGTTCTTCTCCTCTTTCTCCTCCTTCTTCTTCTTCTATTTATCCAGACAGAATATCTCTGTGTGACAGATCTGTCTGTCTTGGAATTCACTCTGTGATCAGCCTGCCTTGAATTCACAGGGATGTCACTGCCTCCTGAGTGCTGGGATTAAAGGACTGTGCACCACTGTTTGGCTTCAGAGGGTTGTTGATGATGAAAGGTTTTAAGAGCATTTTGAGCCAGGTGTGGTGGCTCAGAATTTTAATACCAGCACTCAGGGAGGCAGAGGCATGTGGATCGCTGTGAATTCGAAACCAGCCTGGTTTACAAAGAGTGTTCAAGTCACAAAAAAAAATAAACAACAAACAAACAAACAAACAAACAAAAACAAGAACATTCTATATTTTTGAGACGTTCACTTGGTCTGCATTTTCTTTTTCTTCTGGAGTTGAGGACTGGACACAGGACCTTGTGCTCACTAGGTAAGTGGTTTGCCACTGAGCTAACTAACCCCTGGCCCTTATTTTTATTTGTTTATTTGTTTTATTTACTTACTTTTTTATTTTTTGTTTTTTTAGAGGGTTTCTCTGTGTATAGCCCCAGCTGTTCTGGAACTCACTTTGTAGACCAGGCTAGCCTTGAACTCATTAATATCTGCCAGCCTTGCCTCCCAAGTGCTGGGATCAAAGGCATGTGTCACCATGCCTGGCACTTTTTAAAGAAATTTGCAATGAGTAATGATTTTAGGCATAGTATTTTATTTTAAGAAATCATTTTAAAGCCAGACACAGCGGTTTACTTCTGTAATCCAAACATTCAGGGAGACAGAGGCAGGCAGATCTCTGACTTTGAGGCCAGCTTGGTCTACAAAGAAAGTCCAGGCCAGCCAAGGCTACACAGAGAACCCTGTCTCGAAACAAAACAAAACAAACAAAATAAAAAAGAAATCATTGTAAGAGCTAAAGAAATGGCTCAGTGGTTAAGAGCGCTTTCTGCCCTTCCAGAGGACTAGGGGTGGGTTCCCAACACCCAGGTTAAGCAGTTTACAACTGCCTAGACAACTCTAGCTCCAAGGAATTTATGTAATGTCTCTAACCACCTTGGGTTCCCACACTCACATGCACATACCCACTCAAATAATAATATTTGAATTATTATTTTGAATTAATAAAAATAACCTTAAATCATTTTAAACTACACAGGTCATTAGATTAAATACACCCCCGATGATGTGAAGCTATTACCACTACGACTATCACTGAGTAGGATCAGTGATGGCAACATCCATTAAGTAGTCAATTCAGTTCAATTACTTTCCCTCTTCAAGCCCACGGTTACCAGTCATATTCATTACCTCTATTGGCTTGCACCATGTGGCTATTTTTTTATATAAATGGAATCATACAATGTATAGCCTGTGTGACTGATTTATTTCAGGCCCAGTAATGTTTTTGAAGCTCATACACATCGGTGGATGTATCAGTGCTTTATTCGTTTTATTTTGTTTTGCTTTGAGGATTTGTTTGTTTGTTTCCTTTTTTTCTTTTTCTTTTTTTCTTTTCTATTTGTTGTTGTTCAGACAAGGTTTTTCTGTGTAGCCCTGGCTGTCCTGGAACTCACTCATTATACCAGGCTGGCCTCAAACTGAGAGATCTGCTTGCCTCTGCCTCCCTGAGTACTGGGATTACAGGCATGTGCCCCCATGCCCACCTGGGATCATCATCATGTGACAGGAGGAAGGCAGCTCTGTGGTGGTCAGTTGTCATCTAATCTGTACTTGTGAGTGAGTGTCAGCAGCGGGATAGCCCATTGATGGTTAATCACAAGAGGCTCCTTTGGTTACTCATAGAAGAAAGCATTTTGCCACTGCAGCTGGATGGAACAGGACTATCTCACAAAGCAGATAAGACATCTTCTGAGCTGTATATCCTGTCCAATGCCAAAAGTTCGCAGTTTGGGTTGTTGTTGTTTGGTTGGTTTTGTTCTTTTCTCAGAGTATTCTCCACCTCTTTGGTCTTCTACTTCTTCATGGCAACAGTAGCCGGGCCTACCTTTACTCCCTTTGCCTTCTTTCCTTTCAGATTATTGTTTTCGGGGGGGGGGGTGCCGAGAAGCACATCCCAAATTTTGTTTATCCACTCCTCTCCTGAAATACATTCCCAGTGTAATTCTATTTCCTCATTCATGCTTTTGTTTCCAGTGCTACTGGAGTTCTAGTCAGCAAACTAGGGCTTATTTTAACACTTTAAAGCCACAATTTGTTGCTGTAAACAAACAGCAATGTTTCCTGTTTTTTTCTGTAGTAGAAATGGCCCAATCGGATGTTTTTCCTCATGCCTGTAATCCCTAGATCTCAGGAGGCTGAGACAGGAAGATTGCTGAGAGTTTGAGTCAGCCTAGGTTGGAACGAAATCCTGTCTCGAAAACACCGCAAAACAAAAACCAAAACAACAATAACAAGACTCCAACCAAACAATGAAAACAAAACAAAGCAACAAACAAACAAACAAACAAACATATACGTATACGGGAGGAGACTAATTAAGATTGAGGACTGCAAAAAATAAAAAGATTGAGGACTGGATTCTACCGCTATGTGATTGGACAAGATATAAAGTTTGGCCTTCCGACTTTTCATAGGTCAAGGTCTTTTTTTGGTTTTTTTTTTTTTTGTTGTTGTTGTTGTTTTCGTTGTTGTTGGTGGTGGTGGTTTTTCGAGACAGGGTTTCTCTGTGTAGCCTTGGTTGTCCTGGACTAAATTTGTAGACCAGGTTGTCCGGGAACTCAGAGAGATCTGCCTGCCTCTGCCTCCCTGAGTGGTCAATGGCATTTTGGAGTAAACTACACTCCTATTGGCTGGCTGAGCAGGCGCACTGCCGCTCAGCTCCACAGGTGGCAGTCTTGCCCCAGTGGGAGCAGAGTTGCTGCGATTAGGGTTCTCCTGGGACACAGAGAACCAGATAGAAGGAAGCCTTACTCCTAGTACCACTTTGTGCCCTAGCGTGCTCAGACAACTAACTATGCATCGGCTAATTTTGAGACTTCGTGGCTTCTTTCAGAGGAAGGCGGAGCCAAAGGAACAGAGAGAACAGCAGCAGAGGCTCTTGGGAGGTACTGTACTAATTCTTTCTCCAAAGAGACCTTCTCTTAGAGGTGTGTTCCATCTCGGGTCTGGAGTCCCAGAAACTTAGAACTCTACTTGGCCAGAGTAGCACCATCTTATTGCAATATGGCATCCTCACAGTTCCTTGCCGAGTGCCCTCCTATGCCGCCAGCTGGATAGTCTTGGGTGGATTCACTCTAGAACTTTCATTCCCAAAGAAATGACCAAAGGCAAGGAGAAAATAATGACTCCTGGTACCACTTCGTGCTCAAGCGTCCAAAATTTTCCTCAGAGGCAAAACAATGGGGACTACAGGGATGACTCAGCAGTTAAGATCACTTACTGTTTTTAGGTCACCCAGGTTCGGGTCCCAGCCCACACATTGCTACACACAACTGCCTATAACTCTAGTTCTTGAGGCTCAGAACTCGTCTGCCCTCAGAGGGTACATGGTGGACATACATAGTTACACTCAGGCACGTGCACGTATGTGCACCCACACACAATTTTACTTTTAAATTTTTTTAAAATAAAAAGAACAAAGTATGGTAAAGGGCAAAGCAGGGTATGTGAGGGGTGTGGCGCTATTGGCAATTGATAGCAACTAGAACAGGGAGAACCAGTTTTCTCTAGGATGTGACCACTTGTAAGTCGACCACCCTCTAAGGCAGGAAATAGACCCAAACGTATTTATTAGACAGCAGAAATTGAACTCTATGGCCTAGATAGAAAAACCACTAAGAGATACCACTAAGTTGCATGTCCAGGGAGGTGGGATTGATCTGGGAGGAAGTAAACGAGTGATATAGGTCTGATCAAAATATATTGTATGAAAATATTTTTATTATTAATATTGGTTCTCTTTGAGATCTGCCTGATTGTGGCTCCCAGACTACTGGGATTACAAGCATGTGCCACCATACCGGATTTGTGCCACAACCCCTGGCTTGTATGAAGATTCTAAAGAACTAATAGAATATTGCTTAAACAAAGAAGGCAGATATAGGAAATGAGAGAAAGGGTGGAGGTGGCAGAGGGGAGGTAGCTGTTTGGAACTTTTAAAAATTTAGAGAGCCGGACATGGTGGCTCATACTTTTAATCCCAGCATTTGGGAGGCAGAGACAGTGGGATGGATGTATTCAAGGCCAGCCTGGTTTACAAAGGGAATCCAGGACAGTCAAAGCTACACAGAAAACCCCTGTCTCAAAAAAACAAAAACAAAAACAAAAACAAAAACAAAAACCAATCCCATAATAAATAAATAGATAGATAGATAGATAGATAGATAGATAGATAGATAGATAGATAGAT